AATTCATGTAAATACACCTGCCTCTGCCTGCCAGAGTGTTGGGACTAAAGGCATGTGTCACCACACGCAGCAAGAACTGAGTAATTTTATATAAGAATGCCTGCCTCTATCCTGACTTGCTCTAGGAAAACTCTAAAAGGACAGCCCTGGCTGTCCTGAAACCCACAGAAATCTGCCTGTCTCTCCCCCTCCCACCCCCCAAGGGCTAGGATTAAAGGTGTGCATCACCACTGCCCAGCTCAAAACACCAATAACAAAACAGCCACCGTTTCTGCTGTTCAAGAAATGGCTGCTGCTGCACACCCAAATGTGGGTGACATCTCGAAGCACTGGTCAACACATTAAAATGAGTCAAGTAAAAACACACCTAAAAGAAGAATAAAAGGTTATTTCCAAAGTATTTTCAACCAGTGACTTGTTATAAAACATAACAAGAGCAGAGTAGGAGGTGATGTAAGGGTCAGCATACAAGAAAACTTAAGACTATAGGCAGAGCATCTCAGGATGCAAGGAGGGCCAGACCCTGTATGGACTACTGTGGACTTCTGCACTTGGTTTGCTAGCTGTTGTTTAAGGTACAGGAAGAAAATACTCAAGCAGAACCTCTTTATTGTTCTAGCAGGATAAAAATACTCAACCAAGACCTTGGAAGAGAAAACAGGCCAAGGAAGTGATTAGGAACATCATGTCTAGCTCAATGAGTGTCTTAGTCGGTGCTCTATTGTTGTGAAGAGACACCATGGCCACAGCAACCCTTACAAAGGAAAGCATTTAATTGGGACTGACTTACGGTTTCAGAGGTTTGGTCCATTGTTGTCATGGCAGGGAGCAAGGTGGGGAGTATGGGGGCATGGAGGAGAAGTAGCAGAGAGTTCTATATGTGGATCCAAAGCCCGCCTCCAGTGACACACTCCTCCAAGGCCAAACTCCCTAATCTTCAAATCAAACAGTGCTGCTCCCTGGTGACCAAGCACTCAAATCTATGAGCCTATGGGGGTGGAGGCATTCTCATTCAAACCACCACAATGGGGAACTGGAAAAGCTTTGAAGTGTACCCCTACAAAGTCCATGACCATAAATCCGTGACTAAGTAACTCATCTGATGCTACCTGATGATGCCAACAAGATTTCCAAAACACACTGGCGCCAGAACACCAATGTTTGGGTCAAAGCACTGATATTCCAACTCAGCTGTCAGAGCTGGTTCATGTTGCAAGCAGAGAGAAAAAGGAAAGTTGATCACAGGGAGAAAATCTCTCCATACGAATTTCTGCTTTAGGTCCACTTATATGGAACCTGGGGCATTTTGTAATCTCTATAATTCAACATATCCTAGAAGACACAAGAATTAGGTATAACATCCATTTAACTGTTTAGTAACCCGATAAACCCTTAACTATGTCTTTTATATTAGCTGGGAGTGAAGAGCCTCTCACTCCCTCCTCTCCTCTCCCTTTGCCACTATCTCTACTGTTTGACAGAAATGACTGGTGGTACACTCTCTTTCTTCTTTCTTCCCTCCGTCCGTCCGTCCGTCTGTCCCTCCCTCCCTCTCTCCTTCCCTCCCTCCCTCTCTCTCTCCTCCCTCTCTCTCTCTGCTTCCCAAACTGGCCTCACTAAACTCAAACATCAAGCTCCTAACCACAAGATGCTTTTGCCTTTCCAAACCAGTCTGACCCTTAGTCCCAAGAATGAAACCTCACTGAACAAGTAGCCTGAGAAAAATTATCGCATCATAATCTGTCATCTGTGACTGAACATAATTCACCAAGAGTTTGAGTTCATATTTTGAATATCTAGAAACTGAAATTTTACTGAAGGAGTTAATTAAATTTCTGACAGATATCTTTGCATATGCAAAGGGAATATCTAGCCCATATGGCAGGCTATATGGATATGTGTGTGTGCATGTGTGTATGTATGTTTTTTTAATTGAGAAAGGGTGTGTGTAATATATATATTTTAAAAATTTGAGACAGGATTTTTCTATGTAAGCTTGGCTGTTCTGGAACTTGCCATGTAGACCATTCAACATGGACCTCTCTATATAACCAGAGACACCTTCCACTGTTAGAGAAAAGCCAAGTTGATAAAAATTGCTTATAGAGCATTTACTTAAAACCAGTAGCTCATAGGTCTCTCTAGACTAGCAGTTCTCAAAATGTGGGTTGAGACCCCTTTGGAAAACCTCTATCTCCAAATATATTTACATCACCATTCCTAACAGTATCAAAATTACAGTTATGAATGAAGTAGCAACGAATGTAATTTCATGGTTGGGGGTCACCAGGCCATGAGGAACTGTATTAAAGGAACTGTATCACAGCGTTAAGGAAGCGAGGACCACTGCTCTGTACCAACAATTCAACCCCTGGGTACAAATTTCATTGAAGAGTGCTTTGAGCGGCAACCAGGTCATCTTGATGTTTGATGACTGTGAGGTCAGGAGGACAAGAGAGCCTGGAGTCCATCAGTGAGCAAAACTGGTTTCACAGCGCCACCTTGTGACTTTTGAAGCTAGAAATCCTGGTCTCCAGCCTAACCGCAAGCACCCCCACCCTCCCAAGCCCAACAAGAATGTTTGCACCTGAGGACTTAGGCCTTGGATACTCTGGTCCACATTATTACACTTCGAAAATACAGGGTTAGGCTGGAGAGGCTGAGGCAAGAAGATTAAACTTGTCTTAATCCCACCCCAGCCCTAAGAAAGAACACCAAAAACAAACTATTTAGGGATGAGCATAGCACTATACATTCATTCAATATTTACTAAGTTCCCATAATATCCCAAGTTCTATGCTATGCACTAGAGATTAAAGATGAGTAAAACATGATCCTGTCCTTTGAAATTCACAGGAAAGCACAAGAACTATGGAGCAAGTTAACATGCCTCTTTCTGGGAAGGACAACAACGATGGAAACTGGTTCACTGAAGATGAACGACAGCAAATGAGTGACTGAGTCATGCGACATGAAAACTGCGGACCTACAGAGTCTTCGAATAAGAAATCTCTTCCCCTCAGAATAAAGGGCAATTTGCTTTGTTGGCAACACCATGCTGGGTGCTGGGAAAACAGGAACTAGCTTTTAAGGGTCTAACAGGGAAGTCTACTGAAGGAGTTTTCCCTGGGAGGTAATGACTTAGTCTTTTTGGTAACTAGGAATTAAATGGATAGAGAACAATCAAGAAAGGAGAGCAGTGCGTGACAAAACAGTTGTAATTCTAGCACTTGGGAGGCTGGCGCGGGAAGACTATCAATTCCAGGCCGGCCTGGATTACAAAGCGAAACCCCATAACAAAATTACAAAGGGGGTGAAGAGATGACTCAGCAGTCAGGAGCACTGGATGCTTTTACAGAGAAAGCTTGTTTCATTTCTAGCATCCACTCTGTCCTTCACAACCTCTGTAACTCCACTTCCAGGTGATCCAACCTCTTCTGGCCTCTATCTACATGCAAGGATTCAGGCATTATGCTGGCCTGCCCCTGTCACCTAGCAGAATGTACTCAGGCAGTGTCCTGGTCAGCGTAGGTGCAAAGGACCCTTTTAAAAGAAAGACCTGCGCCCACTTACGCTTTTCCCGCTCTCTCTTTCCCTTCTTTAACCCCGGCTCTCTCTTTCCAGCTGTTCCCCTGGAGCAGACAGGACTTTTCATGTCTTCCTCTTATCTTCTGTCCTCTCTGTCTCTGTGTCTCTTTACATCTCCACCTCCTCCCCTTTCTAATAAAGCTTCTAAGTTTGCCTGGCATGTTTGTCCCGTCCCGTGCCGCCCCCCCCCCCCCCGTCACCCTCGCCTGCCGTGGAATCCACCAAGGTTTCCCACGCACTTTATCACAGCACCAGGGGCACTAGGCACATATATGATATAGGTGCGCGCACACACACACACACACACACACACACACACACACACACACGGAAAAGAAAATCATGTCCATAAAACAAAAGTTTTTAAAAAATTAAAAAGGACAAATTATCCTGTGTTTGTTTCTATGTGGGAGAGGAATACCCAGGGAGAAGACTACACAGAGAAAGGCAAACTGCTTAGGCAGCTTTTGCTTTTTTATCTAGTAAAATAGTTTACTCATTCAAAAAAATATACTTGTATAGCATCCTATACAATATAGGTTCTGGGGATATGTAAATGAACAAAGGTAGCCCAAGCAAGGGATGAGAGAACAGCAAAAACATGATGTTTAAGGATCTGCACTAAACACAACAGGCCAAGAGCCAGCGAAGACAGCACCAATGGAAAGATGGCAATGGCTATGCGATGGAGAAAGGGTCTTGGAACTCAAGGGGCTCCAGGACGGGTAAAGACAGGAAACTTACGCAGGACTCTAGGATTTCACCTAGAAAAAATTTAAGAGTGAAGACCACATTAAGAAAGCAAAGAAGGAAGGAATGCAGAGCTGGAGGGGAAAGCAGGCTTTTAGCGAGCACTCAGGTGGGTGGAACACTTACACTTCTGTACGGGCATGGTAAGGATGGGTGGGAGAAGATCAGGACAGCTAAGCCAGGTACGGTGGCTCACCTGGTAACCCTAGCACTTGGAAGGCTGACACAGCAGGGGGAGGGGGGGGAGGGGAGAGACAGGGAAAAGGGGGAGGGGCTTACTAGCTGTCCTCTGATGAGAGCCAATTCATCTGACAATCACTCCAATGAGGCCAGGCTTTCTGCTGTAATTTCCTACCATGTCATCTAAACTTCTGGGGCCTGCTGATTCTGTTCTCTTTGTCTCGTTAAGTCAGCTCTCTATAGAGTTATTGAGGTTGTTCCCAGCTCTGGACCCACAAGGAATAAAGGTAAATATGCACAGAAGCAAGAGGAGCCTTGGATATTTTTTTCTCTTTCCTTTTCTCTTTATTTTTTTTTAAATGGAGGAATGACTTCACTTGGCTTCCTTTTTGTTTGCTTTTGTAATATAATATAGTACATTTAATCAGAGATACTGAACAAAAATAATAAGGCAAACAATATTCAGAGTGACAGTTTAAAAGGTTGTATGGAGGTGAACGATCAGACTTAGCCAGCTGCCCTAAGTCAGACAGAGACCTCCATATTCATGTAGGATCGCTGCCTTCTGCAGACAAAAGACATCTCTCCTTTGTCTACATGGTCAATTTTGCAGCTTCCGTTTTGGATTCTTCGTTGTCAAACTCATTTTCCAATACAACATAAGCTGGGGATATACCTCATTGGTAGAGTATCTATCACTTGTGAGGCCTCAGGGTTTGATCCTCTGGACCACACACCTACACACAACAACACAATACAGTACTATGCACTAACTCTGTGTATATAAATATATTACTTCATAAGCGTATGTACACCAATGAACCACACCCACATCAAGAGATGACTTTTAGCTCAGTCAGTACCATGCCCTGGGGTAACCACTATGCCAACACCTATAATCTTCCTGTCAGTAAACGCCACACAAATGGAATCCTAGAGGACAGGTTCCCTTGTAGCGAAGCTATCTTCTTTTACTCAAAACTACAGCCAGGAGGCTCATCCACATCAGTGTGTGTATCCAGTCTGTTCTTTTCATGTTCACCAAGAAGTTTTGTTATATGGCTGCCACTCTGCTTATCCACTTTCCTTCAGTGGACACTTAGGCTTGTTCCAATTTTTGGCTACTTTGGATAAAGCAGCTGGGAATACTCTTGTGTTTATCTTCAGTGCAAACAGATAATCATAATCCCTTCGGTAGGGCTAAGAGTGAGGATGCTGAGTCCTATGGTTAGCCGCAGTAGACATTTACAGTTTTCCCTGACAGTTGTACCCTATTCAGATGTGCACAAATTACGATGGCTTCATTCGTTTCTCAGCCTTGTCACACTATCAGTCTTTTTCCACTGTAGTCATTTTGAGCATTTTCAGTTGCCTCGTGAGTAATGAAGCTGCAAAGCTTTAACTTTCTTAACAGTCTCATTAACTCAGGCTGGCCTTGAACCTGCCATTCAGGTGAAGATGACCTTTAACTCTTGATCCTCTTGGTTTCACCTCTGGTTATGAGCCAGAGACCTAAATTTTCAAATGCTTATTATATGTCTGGTTATCTTGTTTGATAAAGCATTTCTGCTGATTTTAAAGAATGGAACTTAAAGGCTGGAGAGATGGCTCAGTGGTTAAAGCACTGGCTGACCTTCCAAAGGACCTGGCTTAGATTCCCAGCACCCACATGTCTGTAACTCCAGGAAGTCCTATACCTTCTTCTGACCTCTTTGGGTAACACACACACACACACACCACACATACACACACACCACACACACATACACACACACCACACACAGAGCTTATAGACATACATGTAGGAAAAATACCCATATACATTAAAAAATGATAAAAAATTAAAATTACCTAAAAATGGAATTCTTTCTTTTATAGATTCATACTTCTTTATATACTCTGGATATGAATTTTTATTCAGTATGTATTACTCACATAGTACCTGTCTTTGGCTTATTTTTTCACAGATGTAATGCTGTCTTTGATTAACAAAAGTTCTTAATTTTAATAAATCCAATCTGACTTTTCAACACAGGGTTTCTCTGTGTAGCCCTGCATGTCCTGGAAATCACTGTGATCAGACTGCCCTGGAACTTAGAGATCCATCTGCCTCTGCTTCTCAAATGCTAGGATCAAAAGCATGTGTCACAACTGCCCAATCTTGGTAACATTTTCTTTTATGAATAGTGCTTTTGAAGGACTTTAAAACAAAAACAAACAAACAAACAAACAAACAAAAACTAAGTATGTGAGTGTGATGGGAGATGTCATTCTGTAAATATGTTTCTCATACTGGTTTAATGAATAAAGCACTGTTGGCCAATAGGAAAGCAAGATAGGAGGGACTAGGAGACAAGAAGGAAAGAGGAAGTAGTAAGGAGAGTCAAGATGGAGAGCCTGGAGAGAACAGAACTGCCATTCCTCCACTCTCGGTAAGACCACGTGGAAATACATAGAAATGGGTTAATAATTAAGACAGAGCTAGCCGATAAGAAACTAGCACCTGGCCAACAGCATAATATCAAATACATAGTCTCTGTGTGTTAATTGGGGCTGGTGCGGCAGCGGGACAAGACCAGCAGTGGCGGGAGGAAAAAACCGTACTCGTTACATGAGTGTGTACACGTGCATGTGGGTTCAAGTGCCTGAAGGGCAGAGTGTCCAACTGGTTATTTAAGAAGTCTGCCACCTTTGGTGGGCACTTGGGAAGCAGAGGCATGGGCAGGCAGACCTCTGGTCAGCACTGTGAATTCCAGGCCAGCCAGAGAGACATAGCAAGGCCCTGTATCAAATGCCTTGACTACTCTGATAAGGGAAGAGGTCAAGGTCAGGAGAACCTCATTCTTCCAAGTTGAAGCAAATACCAAAGGCTTTGATGTTGGATGCCAGGTTTTAACATTTTGTGTGAGGAACCCTCAAATGCAATATGGCAGTGACACAATATGGAGTGACACGGGTCTCAAAGAGCAGACACTTCAACCTAGCGATCCCAAGAGCCAGGCCAGGTCCCGAGAGCAATTTCCTGAGAGTGGTGTCCGGGTTTGCTTCTGTTGCTGTGATAAAACCCTGACAAAAGCAGCCTGTGGCTCACTCACAGGCTACAGCCCAGCAGCATGGAAAGCCAGTGAGGAAGCCTCAGCAGGGACTGAAGGGAGACCACAGAGGACTGCTGCTTACTGCACTGTCTCGGGGCCCCTTTCTTACAACTCTTCCCAGGACCTGCACAGGGTGGGCACCACCCCAGCGGGATGGGACATCCCACATCAATCAACACTCAAGAAAAAGTCTCATACACATGCTTACATGCCAGTCTGATGGAGGCAATTCCATACCTGAGATTCCTTCTTCCCAGATAAGTCTTAAGTTTGGGTCAGGTCGACAAAAACTAACTACACAAGTAGGAATTTGTACTTTCTTGCTGCTCATTTTTTCATGTATCATTTATACAATGCCTAAAATATCATTCACTAAGGTAAATCTTTATAGGAATTCCTGGTTTTCTCTATGATCCTTGTCAAAGCTAGAGGTTGCTACATGGCACAAAACAAACAGTTCCTGACAGAACCTACAAAGATTGTAAGGTGGGTGAACAGACAGCTACAACAGGCAATGAAGGAATGACACAGGCAGAGCATGGGGGAAGCTTTGCTCGCTCTTTAGACGGTAGAGGACTGCAGTTCTGAAACTATTCCAAGGCTGCTGCAGAAGTCCAAGCAACACATAATTAGGATGCAGGCCTTGACAAAGGAGGGAGGTTGTGGAAATACATCAGAAATATCTAAACGGAACCAATGACAACTTGTTTGACTATGTAAAATATACTTGTAGGTGTGAAGTTCTCTCTTTTTTTAGTCAATTATGCAAGTTTCCCCTCTCTATGGCCAAGTCTTCACCACCCAAACTCCTACAGCTGAACTTCCTAATTTAGATCCAGGTAAGTAATACCAGGGTTTAAGATTAATTTTAAACCTTCAAGAAGTGGTGGGACTGGGCTAGATAGATGGCTCAGTAGTTAAGGGCACTGCCTGCTCTTCTATAAGACCTGGGTTCTATTCCCAGCTCCTACAAGGCAGCTAACAATCACATGTACACCAGTTCCAGTAGATCTGATATCCCCTTCTGCTGGCAGTGCACAAACATAGTGCACAGACACACACACTGGCAAAACACCCATACACATAAAAGGAAATACATAAATCAATCTAGAAAAAGAGAAATGGTGGGACCTGAATACACCAAGAAGTTTAAGGGATAACCTGTAGCTCAGTTTTGGGTATTAGTACAGAAAAAAAGGTGCACATATATACATAGGATAATACTAAAAACAAAACTTAGACACATGTGATAGCACAGGCCTGTAATGAGACAAAGGCAGAAGGACCAGGAGTTCAAGGTCATTCTCAGCTACATAGCAAATTTGAGGCCTGCCTGAACTTTAAGACCCTGGCGGCGGCAGCACACCCTCTTAATCCCAGCACTCAGGAAGCAAAGGCAGGTGGGTCTCTACGAATTAGAGGCCAGCCTGGTCTACAGAGCTAGTCCCAGGACAGCCAGGACTGCACAAAGAAACCCTATCTCAAAAAAAAAAAAAAAAAAAAAAAAAAAAAACAAAGACAAAATCAATCAAACAAACAAACAAACAAAAAAAACAAAAACAAAAACAAAAAAAAAAAAAACAGAAAATAAAAAGAACCTATCTCCTAAGAAGTAAAAACAGTAATTACTCAGCTGGAAGGTGGAAGGTGGTAGCTCTCACACACCTTTATTCCCAGCACTCCCACTACTACAGAGGCAGTGGCAGATGGATCTTGGTGAGTTCAAGGCCATCCTTGTCTACAAAGAGTTTCAGGACAGAGGGAGAGAGAGATGGTAATAACTCAAATGATTGTCATTATCCCTGGTAATTTAAGGTAACATAGCTCAGCTCGGGGTCACATGGCTCCTAAGGTGGTAATCCTTAAACCATAAAATTATTTTGGCTGCTACTTCATAACTGTAATTTTGCTACTGTTATGAATTGTAATGTAAATATATGTGTTTTATAATTTTTTTGGGGGGGGGGTCTCAGACCCACAGTTTGAGAACCACTGGCCTAGATACACAGTCAGTTGGAAGGATCCAGACCTGTGTTGTCTAAACTCAAGTTCTGTAGCCTCTTCCCTTAGCTTCTCTTCGGTCAGACCAGATGCTAACTCAGGTCCTGTCCACTGCTAACATTTTATTCTGCCGACCAGCCCTCAATAAATAAATAAGTTTATTTCAGGGCAGCAGTGGAACAGAATGACTGTGCTCATACACTACTGGCTTCAAGCTAAAGTAGAACAGTCTGGTTTAGGAGAAGGCAAAAGAAAATGCTCAACAACTTAGTATCCATAAACTGGGCTAAGAAGAACAGGTACTCAGGAGGGCATCCTCATGGCTCTTAAGGAGCCCAACAGCCCTTCAGAGTAGACCCTGAATTCACCCACATGCTACTGGAAATCATGTAAACTTAGTACAGAATCACAGCAGGCTAAATCTAGGCCCTACAGGGCAAGCAACTCATCCTTTCTAGGCTGAGGTCTCCATGAAACCTGATACAAGCTTTCTCTTTCTTTCTTTAAAACAACAAAAACAAGACA